TGAGAGAAGGAAAACACCGTGTTCAAGGGTATAATCCTGCTGCTCTGAGGGATAACGCTGCAAGCCCCGGCACTGGAGGCAAACCCACATTACTCACTGCGTGCTCTACAGCAAGGAAGCGCAAAGCAAAATTCAAACAGAATTCCCCAGTGTGTGGGAAAACAGCCTGAGTTCTGTTCAGCCTGAATAACAGCAGCCAGGGCACAGGGTCCTGCTCCTGCCTGGTAAGCGGCTGTGAAAGAGACCCCAACCTTGTCCCCATCCCCTGATCCCAGCCCTCCTCGCTCGCCCAGTACCAACTGCTGGGACCTGAAGCACGGCAGAGAGAGCAGACAGGCTTTTGAGGCTCATTTCCTACAACTGGCTTGTCCACTGTTCTCAGCAAATATTTCTAATATTCAAATAGCAACATTGCTAGCAGTATTGTTTCCTCCTTTTGCACACGGCTTGGTAAAAATGCTTGGAAAATATTGCTTGTCTGCTTGCTACCTGGCAGGGGGACATGCCAAGGGGTCACTGGGCTCCTGTTCTTTGGGATGGGACAGGATGGGATAGCATGTGGGGATGAGCCTGTTCTCAGTGCTAGGGAAAGGCTGGCTTTAGGTAACAGAAATGGTCATATTTGTCAAATTTTCTCGCTTGCTTAAGAATAAAATCATAGAATCCCAGACTGGTTTGGGTTGGAGGGACCTTAAAGCTCATCCAGTTCCAACCCCCCTGCCATGAGCAGGGACACCTTCCACTAGTCCACAAAATCAAACAGCTTTGAGGAAAGCATATCAGCCCTTCCACAAATAAGAGTTAAATATCTGCAAAATTAGCCCAGCAATTTCAGCGCAGGACCATAGCGGGGAAAGCAGCTCCAGGCAAGAAGATGCTCCAGGCAGCCAGAGCCAGTGGGAAGATGTCCCTCCCTGGGGAGTGCCTGTGGATCAAAGCTGCTGCCACAAACACCTGCAGCTCCAATGGGGAGGGCACTGCGCTGAGGTTGAACCTCCACGAACATCATCTGCCCGAGATGCTGCGAGCTGCTCCGCGTGGGATGCAGCCACGCCAGCGACCCAGCCGGGCATCTCCCACTCCGTACCCACACCTTCCCCTGCTCCTCAACAGGGTCTGAGCCCTGCGAGGTGCCCGGGTAGGGGGTGGATGCCCCAGAAAGTGAGAGGGAAGGGGCCTCATGCCCCTGTGCCCGAGTCAGCAGCTCCTGGCCAAGCACCACCCAAGTGAAGCCACCTCCTGTGTCTAAGGCAAGCCCAGGGACTCACCTCACAGAGAGAGAAAATATTATCAAGAGGCCCCCAAAATGCTTTTCCATCCTGACAGCAATGTGCTGGGCATGGTTGGCAAAGGAAAGTGGGGTCACTCCAGGTAGTGGGGACAACAGTCTTTCTTTTTTTCTTTTTGCAGATATTCCTAATTAACAATATCTATGAAAATTATTTATTTGATGTTTTTCTCCCTTCCTCCAAATGTCCTATGTTCATCCTGTTTAAAAAAAAATTATTCTAAGAGGGTACGACAGAGGGAATGTGCCTGGCGCCTCGCTAAAGACTCACGCCCAGACTGACCATTTAACCTCTGCTGGGTCAGCAAGGGCTGACACGTCCCTCCCCACGGATGACCATCCCTCTCAGATGGCCCATGGCAGGTGAGCTCAGCCATCGCCATGGGATGGGTGTCACCACCACATGGTCCATGTAACCACCAGGCTGCCTGTTGGCAGCATCAACCAAAAAGCGAAGGGCTTGGACTGTGGTGGAGGATGTAGCCTCTCTTACCTTAGAGAATCATAGACTGGTTTGGGTTGGAAGGGATCTTAACGCTCATCCAGTTCCAACCCCCCTGCCGTGAGCAGGGACACCTTCCACTAGACCAGGTTGCTCAAAGCCCTGGGGACACAGCCCATGAGCGACAGCACGAGGGAACCTGCCCATTCCACGCCTGGACACCAGCACTAAGCCCACCATCTGCACCATCTTCTGCACCACGCTATGTAAATAAACCAACAAAGCCCCTGGAAACAAAAGTCTGACAAACAAGCCCCAAACTAGCCGTGCTGAAAGCAAGCACTGAAGAAGAGCAGAAAACCCAAGGAGAGAGACGGTCCATTACCAGAGTAGCCTCCCGAGGACTTGATGTACATCTGCCCGTACTGCTCCTCCACCATGGTGTCGTACGCCTCGTCGTCCTCCTCATCCTCCTCATTGTGGTAGGAGGTGGGGCTGTCGGTGGTGGGAATGCTGCTGGCACCAGGGCTCGTCCGCTCCCCCTGCGAGTACTGGACCTGTTGGACGCTGGGGATGAGGGTGGCCAGGTTGGGCATCCCATAGTAGGAGACGCGCGAGAGCTTCAGGGGACCAGCGTTGGGGCCACCACCGCCTGTCCCCTCCCGGGCGCCG